TTGGCTGTTTGAATCTTTATTTTTCATTTAGATTTGACTTTGTGGGTAAAAATTATGTTTACTGTCATGAATTGAACACAAATTCTCTCTCTGCCCCTCCCCATCTTTGCCTTTGTTTTTAAACTTTTCTTGCTTTTGACCTCTTATCTGTTTGTTTCTGCAGCCCAGGTGTTATGGCCCTTCCCAGAGTTCAGTGTCCCAACCACCCTGATGCCTGTCTGGTGGAGGACTACAGAGCAGGGGACATGATCTGCCCTGAATGTGGCCTTGTAGTAGGCAAGTATACATGGTTTTAGATCAAGCTTCCACTGAACACATCCTGCATTTGGTTTCCTGTACTTGTTATCTCAACTAAACGGAACAAATTTTTTTTCAGCACACATCTTCCTGAACTCATTTGCTTTGTCATCATAGTTCAATTCCAAGCTATGCAAGGCCACATTTTCCAAAAGTGTATAAGTAAATTAAATATATTGTTTAAAATTATCCATAGATGTCAGGTGACATGACAGGTTTTGTCTTGTGGATAGAGTTAAAGAGGCAAAAAGCTTGATGCTTGCTATTAGACAAAGCTTTAGGGAGCAACAAGCTCTCCTCTAATGAGCCCCTTCAGGACAGAGCAGGTTAGCCGAGAGAATAGAGACGCCCGCCGCCCTTTAATGCAAGCTTAAGTGCCCTCTGTTCCCGTTTCCATAGCTTTGGTTAGCCTCTAAGGAGATGAATGTCACTTTGCCTCGAGATATTAGGAGTACTGATGGATGGCAAGAAAAACAGGATTAAAATATCAAATCTAATCTTCAACCCCAGTACACAGTTCCTGGAAGAGACAGTCATAATAACTTGAAGAATGCAATGGCCTTGTTCAGACAGTTTGCCTCATTGCTGATGTCACACCCCTATCTTTTCCTTTTTGGTGTAAAATAATTGAGCCATATTCAAAACCGCAGTAGTACCGGTAGTAATGGAGCGTAGTAGGAGAACATGTAGTGGAAGAGCCAAAGAAAGACAATAGAGGAGGACTGACATAGTAGCAGCCGTGTTTGAAACTTAAATTCTGAGCATGTCTTTGAGTGAATTTGCTTATATTATTGCACCATCTTCTGGTAACTTATTTCAGAGGGATGAAATATTACCAGGCACAAGGAACACCAGCAGCCATCAAAGCTTTTTGAGTGTTGGTGAATCCCTGAAAACCTTCTGTAGTGTCAGTTATATCTGTCAGAGAGTAACCCTTTTCAGAGCAGTGGATGTGACTTCAAAACAGATAAACAAGCAGCTGAAGATTAAGTTGCGAGTGTTAGGTAATCGAGTTGAAAGTAAACTTTAAATCTTAAGCATTTAAAGAAAATTATATAATCAGCAACAATTTAAAAGCTGGAGCTTCATCAGAAACGCCTCGTTCAGTCCAAGCTGTAATACAGTGAAATGTTGCAGCTCAAGAACTCGATCTTGATCTATTGATAGTTTGAATAGTAAATGTTGTATTAAATGAATCTTTATTCAGTTATCCAAATCATATGTTCAGGTGATCGTGTAATCGACGTGGGCTCAGAGTGGAGAACGTTTTCTAATGAGAAAGCCCTCAAGGACCCATCCAGAGTGGGAGACGCCCAGAACCCATTACTCAATGGAGGAGACTTAACCACCATGATCAGCAAGGTGAGACACTGTTTGAAATAAAAAGCTAACCTTTTGTTTTCACCCTATTAAAGATGGCTGCTAGAGTGGCTCTTCTATTAGTATGTGCTCGGGTTGCCTTGGCACAGCTAGACACGGTTTTTAAGGTTTTCCTGAGACTAAATAATTGTACCTGGTAGGAGGTACTTTTTTAGTTCCTATTTGACTGGGACAATCCAAGGCGATCCAAAAATGTGATGTCAGCAGACTGTATGGCAACGAATAGCTAGTCAGCGGCATTACTCGGTGAGACATGAAAGAATCTCCATCAGGAAAATCAAAACCAATATTTTTGAAACCCTGCTAAACCCGGCTACACAGAAACTGTACCGTGGTCCCCGAGTCTGAGGAAAAGCCACAGACCGAGCAGCAGGTACACCATCACCTCGACATCCACCTGTATTGTGGCGTTTGTGTCGCATACAAATGATGTCACGGGATGTCATTAGCTCTTCCCCTTTACACAAAATTTCTTCTGATTAGCTGTCCTGTGAGCCTGAACGACCATATTAGGGGATGTCCCCTAATTTTGACATCATAAATTGAATTAGAGCAGTGTAACAGAATGTACAGTACTTAACAAATGCAGAAAAAAAAGCACATTATTGTTAGATTGCAAATTACTTATTTACTGACATTGCTGAACAGAAAAATTACTTTTAGTGGCTGAATGAAGAAGTCAAGTGTACTGGCTCAATTTGGGTACAAAAATATTGAGTGAATTAAATTTTTAGCTGTAATTTATTTGACGTTACTGTGGTTTCACATGAAATAATTTCACTGGTAAACGTGCACCGTTTACCTCCACAGGGAACAGGAGCTGCCAGCTTTGATGAATTTGGGAACTCGAAGTACCAGAACAGGAGAACCATGAGCAGCTCTGACCGGGCCATGCTCAACGCCTTCAAAGAGATCAGCACCATGGCGGATCGCATCAACCTGCCGAGGAACATCGTAGTAAGTAACAAAAAATAATGACCTGTAAAAATATTTTCTGCTGTGGCCTAACAGTCTCACTGAGAGCAGAGAAAGTTGCCCATCTGCTTTTTGTCATTGTTGTGAACAGGTGACAGCCTGTGAGATAGAAAGTGAATCTAATGAGATGTTAAAAGTTAACAGACTGCTAATGGAGAGGAGCAAGAAACAAAAATCCCGCTTGTTTGTTTCCTTTGTTCTTTTTATCAAAGTTCTTGTTGTTGTTTTTCGCACTGAAGTCTCAGCTGAAGCTGTCACGCAGTTTTCCTTGTGAGGATATTCTCATTTTGAGGAACAAAAGGGTCGTGGGCTATGGTCGTGTTCCTAAACATTAATTCAGACATGATCATATCATTTTCATTCAAAATTAAGCAAAATGGTGTCACAAAAGAGCCACAAACATAGGGCTCAGCAACTTTGTTAAACTGAAATGAAATGACTTCCCTGTTTTAAGGTCATGTAAAGACAAACATCACACTGTTAACATGCAGTTAAATTCCAACAGAAGCATAAAATCCATGACACTGAAATTAAAGTGTAAATAATGTTTTTTCCCCTCAGGACAGAACAAACAACTTATTTAAGCAGGTTTATGAACAGAAGAGCCTGAAGGGCCGAGCCAATGATGCCATCGCGTCAGCCTGTCTCTACATCGCCTGCAGACAGGAGGGTGTGCCGCGAACCTTTAAAGGTCAGAATAAATTTGTCTTGTGTGATTTTGAGTAATTTACTATCTTTGTTTAAATGATTAAATATAACTCTGTTGTGTTCAGGACAAAATGTATTCACATAAAGAACTTATTCACTCACATTTTCATGGAATAAGCCAACATAGGACTGTTTGTTATTCATGTGGTGCCATTAGTAAATGTTATTTACAGGAGTAGTCAGGAGGCAGAAGTGTAGGATGTGCTTAAGGATAAAACCTTAAAAAAAAAAAAAAAAGTAATTGCAGTCCATCCAACCACCCCTAAAAATCTCCTTTCCTCTGCAGAGATCTGCGCTGTGTCCCGGATCTCAAAGAAAGAGATCGGTAGGTGCTTCAAGCTGATCCTGAAGGCACTGGAGACCAGCGTAGACCTCATCACCACCGGGGACTTCATGTCCCGCTTCTGCTCCAACCTCGGCTTACCCAAACAGGTGCAAATGGCAGCCACCTTCATCGCCAGGAAGGCCGTGGAGCTCGACTTGGTGCCTGGCAGGAGCCCCATCTCTGTAGCTGCAGCTGCCATCTACATGGCTTCCCAAGCTTCAGCAGAGAAGAAGACCCAGAAAGGTAAGAGGTTATGGACTGGAGTTATACAACAGGTAGACTTTTCACGCCATTTTTAAGTCTTGATCCACGCCTCGTTTCCTTATATTTTGCTTCCAAGGAGAAAGACTTTCTTGTGAGGTCTTGAGCAATAGGTCTCCAGACTTTCTGAAGGCCTTTCAAAGGTTTTTTTGGGCATTGGCTGCTTTTTTACTCCTCTTCAGTCCAGACCTTGTACCATTTTTGGAGAAAGAAATAGTTTTAAGTTGTTTCTTTCCTAGCAGTCTGTCACAAAAGCCCCTCTTTTTTTCATCATATATGCAATGCTCGTTTCTGTTCAAAGTTAGAACTTTTAACCGCTTTAAAAACGTCAGGAGTGTTAAAGCTCTATTTGCTGTCAAGAAAGCTGTTAAGAAAAATGCACTGGCGTCATTCCTCATATACTTCTAGTAATGGCTGAATTGTCTGTCATGCTCTTCCACAGAAATCGGAGACATCGCTGGTGTTGCAGATGTGACGATCAGACAGTCGTATCGACTCATCTACCCACGGGCTGCAGAGCTTTTCCCCCCAGACTTCAAATTTGATACACCTGTTGATAAACTGCCCCAACTGTGAAGAACACTCCTCTCGTACAGCACAACAATTTCTGCTGTACCTACAAGATCATCACCATTATTATTGCTGTTTTTTCTTTTTTAAATGATGTGTTGGTTTTGGAAGATTTCTCTCGTCCTGCCTTAGACGACACCAAAGTCTGACAGGTGCAACGGACACACATTCCAGTACTTAAATAAACAGCTTGCAGACTGTACTTGCAGTATTTCATTTGAGTGTATATACTGTACAATGTATATATGTCCAAGTGGGAAGTGTAACTGATACTTGCAATTTTAGGCTGATTTCCTACTGTACACAAAAAAAACTTTTTTTTGTAGAAAATTACCAGTTTCTATTTTGTTAGTGTGCTTGAATTGTTCTGGGTAATTTAAATAAAAATAAAATTTCTCTTTAAACCAGGTCAGTGTTTGGATCAAACTAAACTTTCTGTGTATGTGGAGATGACCTCAAACTTGATGGAAAACCAGAAACAAAGTCACTGTTACAAATGTTTAATTTGTGCATTCGTGATGGGCAACAAACAATGACTGCAACAATGCCTTTGATTTTCTTTGTCTTTTTACACCGGAGGATGAAGAGCAACTGCTGTGAGTACTTGGTGTACCATCCATAAAGTTCATCTGTTCTGGCAACAACATGCACAAGCAAAAGAATAAAAAACAAACACTTTGTACAATCTATTTTCATTAAGAAACATTGATAATTAAAAACTATTGATAAAATTAGTGCTTTCAGCTTAATTGTATACATACAGTATGTATATATATTTATATAAAATATACCCTGCCCTCCCCCTGTAGTGATTCATAAACAGGTCTGCAACATTTGAGTCAGTTTATACAGAACAGCCACACTAACAGAGTGCCGTGCCCCCTATGTCAGCTACAACATGTAACCTGAACAACAGGAAGCTTTCAAATGGCTTCTGGATGGAGACCTGAAGTTACTATGAGCTTTGTAGCCTCATTTCCAAAGCAACAGCTGAGGACACCGACTTCTGCACAAAACCACCTCATTAAATCTGCCTTTATGTAAACTTTCAGTGTGTCAGATTGTTTAAACTACAGAGAGCCGCTCCTCTGCTACTCCCGAGGAGGACAGGATGAGTTTGGTTTCGGTAGCTGTAACTGGGCGAGACGCTTTAGTGTCTTTACTGAGGTAAAAGAAAGAAGAAGTCAAGTCCAACACATGGTTGTTCTGTAAGGACATGAAGGAATCAAAGCGCAAAACCAGCGGTCATATAATGTTATGGTTTGATCGTGATGCTCGACTGGATACTGTATCAACTCCACAGCTGGTCACTAAAAGCAGCGAGGCCACTAGAGGGCACCAGACAAGATAATTTTAGTGTTTTTCATCATTTTTTTCCCCAGCCAAAGGGCATTTTAATGAACTCGGCTCAAAATAAACAGTAATTCATTTACCAGTTTGGGCGGTGTGTAAGACATGGAAGCTTCAGGTGGACACGCTGGGAGGAAAAGGAGGTAAACTGGACCGCTAGACCCAAAATAATATGTAGTGAATACTCTTACTTGTTTTCAAGTCAAGAAGCAGTAGTAGTAGTAGTCGTCAAGATGTTTTGTTGTTGTTGACTATTCAGTGACGATGCTTTAAGCACTTCAAATTCAATGAGCGCCACTTTCAGATGCGATTGCTGCAGAACTTTACAGTGAGATAAGGTACGGCGAGGGCTTCGAGACTAACGAAAAAACCAAAACAAAACAAAACAATAAAATATACGACTGAATATTATCTGTACAGATCAAGAAAATTGAAAACAGTGACTCTAAATAGCATGACTGTGATGTTGCCGTTTTCTCAGAGTTCATGTGGAAAACATTCTCAGTGGTCAGACAACGGACACGATGGCAGTCTGTACAGGAGGACATCCCGCCTGCTTCACTCTCCAACAACAGAATTCATTCTTTTTCCCCTCTCCTTTAAAAAAAAAAAAAGAAAAGTTCTTCATGTGGATATAAAAAAAAAGAAAAAGAAGTAGTAAGTGTGTGTCCTCAGGAGGCATCTGGACTTTCTTCTCAATGGCACACAGTTCTGCCCGAAAGCTCCTCCCCAAACATGAGGGGCAGGGAAGAGTTTGTCTGTTCTTGTTTAAGGATTTAAAAAACAAACAAAAAAATGGGATCTACAGTCATTGCTGTGCTTGGTTCACAGTGTGTGTGTGTGTGTGTGTGTGTGTGTGTGTTTTTCAGGCGGAGCTAACACCAGTCAGCGATGTAATCAAAGTCAGAGAACAGGTTTTGCTCCTCGGAGTTCAGCACTCGGGGTTCCCTGGGCGGGGTTAAGATCGGAGCCTCTGAGGTAAATTCATCGTCGAAGTTGCTGACGTCACTGGAGCCCAGGATGGTCGGGACGAACGGCGGCTTCACCTTCTTGGCCAAAAGCCCGGTCCAATCGATGGTCTATCAATAAAGACAGAGAGCGAGTTGGTAACAACAGCGTTCTTTTCTTTGATTACGACAGTGATAACTTTCTCTTTGCGCCTCTTACCCTGAAGAAGAGATGTTTCTTAACCTCCTCTGCATCCTTTTCTCCTGCTCCCAGCCGTCTTTCTGGGCTCCTCCTCAAAAGCTGAGCACAAAGACAAAAAATATAATGTTAAAGTTTACACCCAGGAGCACAAAGAGACCGTTTCTTGTCTGTCTACACACCCTCCTCATGATGGAGATGGCCTCAGTTGAGAGGAACCGTGGATAGCGGACTTCATCGTTGACAATACTGTCAAATACCTCCTCTTCATCATCACCGGGGAAGGGTGACTGAAAGAGAGACGTGCCAAGGAGGAAAAAACAAAAAACAAAACCTGATGTAAGGAACATATTCAAGAAATAAATGATGAATTCTTGACATCTTGACGAAACACATGCTCACCTCTCCAACCAGCATCTCAAAGATGAGGACGCCCAGGCCCCACCAGTCCACGGCGCGGGTGTACGACGTTTCAGTTAACACCTCCGGAGCTAAAAACTCTGGTGTGCCACAAAACGTGCTGGTGCGATCCCTGAAACCCATTCCTGAAGGCAGCACAGAGCACGTCCATCACTCCAAAACAAATCTACATGTGTACCTCCAACAACTGATGGAGCAAGTTCATAACTCTGCTTCTCTGAAGATCTTACAGCACAGGAGTGAACAATCTACCACAGGGTTATGCTTTCAATAACTCTCAAAGTTTCAATTTGACATCATCATCCATTTACCTTCTTTGCAAAGCCCAAAGTCAGCAATCTTTACATAGCCCTCTGTATCCAGGAGCAGGTTATCTAGCTTCAAATCTCTGAAAATTGCAATGAGAGCAAAAATAACTTTCAGGACCCTGACTTTGAATTGAAGTATTACTTTAAATTTCTCAGGCCTTACCTGTACACAATCTTATGGTCATGTAAAAACTGTAATCCCAAAACAACGCAGGCTGCATAAAACCTGCAAAAAGGTACAAAAAACACAGGAGATTTAGACGACGTGCCGCTGTGAGAGTTTGTGGTCCTGCCCACACGTTAACAAGACACTCACACAGCCCTGGGCTCAGAGAAAACATCAGCGTGGATGTGCATCATCAGGTCGCCTCCAGCCGCGTACTCCATCACAAAGCAAACGTGCTCCTGCGTCTGGAAACACGCAAACAGGTTGACCAGGAACGGGTGACGGACGCTGTTGACCGTTTCAAAGATCCTCTTCTCGCACATCAGACTGGCAAAGAGAGGAGGAAGCTGAGTCACCACATTACACCGAAGTGACCTGACAGTGGGGGGGGTTTGTGAAAGAGCTTTAAGTGAGTACCTGTCGACCTCATCGCGAGCCACAATGTCTCCTTTCTTTAGAGCTTTGATGGCAAACATCTCTCCAGTGCTTTTGTATTCTGCTAAAAGCACCTGTGGAGGAGATGAACACTTCAGTTTTTTCCTGCTTGATTTGTCTACTAAAAGTTATTCAGTCCACAGAAAATTTATGGCAAACATTTTTTTTTTATTTTTTAAATTGACTAAACATTCTTAATATAGTAGAAATGTCAAGAAGATAATCATCAGCAGCATTTTTATTCAAAGTACCTTTCCAAAGTGACCCCGTCCAAGGACTGCCACGCATTTAAAGTCTTGGAGACTGAATTGGAACGGCTCTTCTTCCCTAGAAGGAGACCAGTGCATACATCAGTGTATTCACTCACTCCAAACCAACCTGCATTAAACTTTAAAGTTACAGCAAAACAAAACAAAACAAGGAAAGAGACACCACCATGAAAATTCAGTGACTTTGAGCCAAAGCCAGGGGGCAGTGTTTAACCCAGTGTAATTTGTTTTGAGTAGTAAGTCGTTTTTATTTGAAGGAAACCAATTCAAAGCTTTAAAGTAGCATATACATGGCAAGCAGTGACCCTCCTTACCTTATCTCTGTGTCTTTCTGAATGGCTGTAAGCTCCAGGTCTGGATGCTGGAACTCATGGTGCACCACTCCATCCATATCTGGCTTCATCACCGTGCTGATTCTCTTGTTGAGGAAGTCAAATGAGGCGAGTGCATCCTGCGGAGAGGAAACACAGGAGAACAGAAGGACAGAAAGAGACACACAGGGTAAATATGAAAACAGTGCTGGTCACCTATTTGTTGTGACTTGAAATTTAGTCTTTAGTGTTTCTCTGTAGATGAAAACTAACGTTGGAGAAATAAAGGTTTTCTATTAAAGAATCTAACTAACAAAACATAATTCAAAAATCATTTCTCTCAGTGCGTAACAATCTAATATTTCCTTCCTTTTTTAAAATGTTTTAAATTAAATTTCACTTGTTTGGCAACAACACACTTCCTTCCAGCTGACAGGAATGAGGCCCAGCATGGTGGACTTTTACGCACAGAGAGCTCAGCATGACTGCATCTGTGATTGTATCAGCTCGCATGCGTCTTATCACCACTTCTTGTAATTCCTTAAACAAAACCATACCTGTACTTCCCCCTTGTCAGAAACGCTGTGATGCACTTGTGGTTCTCGGATGTCATCGGGTATGGAGTAACGTTTGGGCCCTGGAGTGGGCTCTTTGTCGAAGTCCAGCTTGGTCACCAGCGGGTCGCTGTGTAAGGGACAGAAGTACAGCAGTGGTGAAAGTTCTTCTTACCGAGCAGCTGTGCCCATAGACACCCATGTAAAATGGCAAACACTACAGCATTAAAATGCATGTTTACATGCGAGTAAAAATCTTTGCAATGCAGCCATACACTTTATGGAGCTATGCAGATGCTAAACAAGTTTTCTAGCATTAGTTAATTACTTAGCACCCTACAAGAAGACAGAGATCAAAAATAAAATTGCGGATGTCACAGTGGCTATACACATCTTTTCTATACAGTCTGTGGTTGCTGTATGGCTGTGTACCTGCTGGGTGTGGGTGAACCAGGCAGGCTGCTGGATCCAGTCTCAGCCGCCTGTGGGCTGAAGGAGTTTGTGCTGACGGTTGGTATGGCTCTTCTAACCAGACGGCCCCAGGTGGCGATGTTGATGTTCATCTGAGGGGCTCGCAGAAAAGTTTTACCTGACAAAGAGTAAAAGACAGGAAAAAGACTGTAAGAAAAAAATGAATAATGGAAGAAGAGAATCAGGAATATGCAACCAAATAAGTAAGGGATCCGAGGAAATTACATACAGTACTTAGTAAATGTATGAACACTGGAGAATCACTGAATATATTTAAACACGCAAGTCAACCAAGAATCCATCACTGCTGCCTTAGAAACAAGAACATGATGGCTTCACAGCAGCGACTCACCTTGCTGTTTGGAGAAAATCTTCTTTTGTCTTTGCAACTTTGGTCGTCTCTCTATGACAGGGTTGAAAAATGTTACCTGAAAACAGAGAAATAAAAAAGTAATTTCACAAAACAACAAAACATCTGTTTCCTGTGCATTCTTTACTCCTGTGCAAATACACATGTCTGTAGTTATGCACAAGCATAGGACACGCTGTCGCAAGACTAGAAACTAACACAAACGTGTGCCAAATCATGCACACCCGTAACACTTTACAGATTTCTGTCAGGATTAGATCACACTGAAAAAGCTCCACATCTAATCTTACAATCTTACATCCAACAGTAAAACCTTCTGATTTTATTTTAAGTTTAATGCATGAGTAATTTTACACACAACATCTATTAAACTACACTTCTGATGCAGACACTGTTTGAGGCAAGTGACTGTCATTAGTTTGTTTTTATCTGTGAGCGATTATTTAAACCCCGTCTTGCAACAAAAGCTTAACAATCACACTTCGTTTACGGCACGTTGTTATTTCAGAACTCAACCTTCAGGCTGCTCCAGATATCATTTTATTGGCAAGTTTTTTGTACTCCTGGATCTGTTTGATATCGAGGAGATACCCTCAATAACAGCTGACTGAGTGCAGAAGCCCCACCCACCTGCTGCTTAAACCTTCTCTTTACAAGGGGCAACCAATCAGAAGAAAGCTGGCTTAAAGGCAGAGAAGCTAAAAACTTGTTGTTTTGGAGCTTGTTTCAGACAGTGGATGAACCCAGTGATGAAACTGCTCTAATAAAGACGATGAAAAAACAAAAACAAAAAAACATGGAGTTGGACATCTCCATAATACGTTTGAAATATTCTTCTGTGGACAGACTTTACCAAGATTCCAGTCTAGGTCTTCTCAGAGTATTTATTTCTTATAATTTTATAGCTTTTATAAGCAAAAAGATCACCAACTGACACACTTCACCATGTTTCCAATTTTATTTCCTATAAGTATAAGTAAGTATGTCTATCCATACATGTCCTACCAGATAATGTTTAATTGTGACCATTCAAAGCTAATTTACTACTTAAATTACTTTTTTCAATTTTTAGATTATTAAAATATGCCGACAGTTACAACTACTTATCCCCCTTTTATGGAATTAAACTGAAATGGTGTTTGTATACCTCAGCAAACAGCATTCCCTGTGGCTCCAGGTACAGACACATTCCATGACGTTGGTTGTCCAGGAAGTCCTCCAGCCGCAGAAACTTGACAGCACAGAGTGAACGCCAGTCCCGCCAGTACACAGCGATCTCCAGCTCCCGGGACTGCAACGCAAAGATGTGAAACTCAGCGTCCGTGCTGTATAAACACAGAGTCAACAGCGCAGGTGTAGTTCAAGGGTGGAAATGTGTGTGTTACCCGGTCCAGCTCCAATGTAAACTTCTGGTCCCATGCCTGATTGCTGACTGGTTTCCAGCTCGTCTGTCCTACCACTGTGTTGTCCAGCTTCAACACTGCACTGATCTCATCTGAGGAAAAAGCACTGAGCTATTAACAAAACCCCAATTCTATCCCCGTTGGTATTAAACAGGCAGTTGCTTCACTTCACCCATATTATAGTTTCAGGTGTGACTTGCTCTGGGTCATGCCCACACTTTAAGTAAACAGATCATTTGTTTGTGAATCAGCACAATATCACAGTTCATCTTTCGGTAATTATTTTGTGTACGAGATCAGATGTACTTACTGGAGAGTTCCTCGCTCTTGGTTAAGTTCCTTGAGCTCACGCCGCGGTTTCGGTTTGCTCGGCTGATGAAGGACGAGCGGGTCTCGCTGGGGCTCCAGCCAGGCAGCGGGACAGATGCAGCTTTGGAACGACCTGGGACATTTTCCAGTAGATCCTGACAGCCCATTAGCCTGACATCTAATGTGCCTGGAGGTGAGCGAGGACAGGACACACGTGTTATACAATTGCTCCTGCACAAATTTGTTCCCACTTGAGGTTACTTCAAGTGACACCATGTACTGGTATAATGAGCTAGCCCAGTTTACTGTCTGCTCCTAAACTGGACTATAATTTGTGCACCTCCAAATAACTAGGGGGGAAAAAACAACTAATCAACCAACCAACCAACCAGATCTAATTGTCTAATAATCCATCTTCTTTTTTTGATTCAACAGCAAAAAGTAAACACTGTATTACAACCAAAAATAAAAACCAGTCCACACAGATCAGCTCAGTATACTTAAAAGCGGATACAACTTTAAATTAAAGGGTAAAGAAACAAACAAAATACCAATAGACCACCTTTAGAAACAGAGTCATATTTGCACTGTTAGTGATTAGGAACAGCTCAATAGTCCAGTTACCTGTGAGTGCTGCAGGCTTGGTCACGGTGCTGTACTGTGGGAAGATGATACTGGATCTGGGACTGAGGGCTGGTGACGACAGCAGGGACAGCTCTTCTATGATGCTGTTGCTGCGAGGATGGTTTTTAGGCAACTCAGCGAGGCGTTGCTCCAAAGAATATCGCAAAAGGTCAAGCTTTTGACTGGACTCATTGAAACGAGCCTGGGCCTGAAAGGAAAGGAAGAGGATAAGGCAGCGAATTAAGACAGATTGAAAGGAAATTATTTTACTACAGCAGTCCAGAGATCCATTTCATCTCAAGTCTAAGATTGCATGATCTCAAAAGTGACAGATTTTGACTTGTTGTCCAGTTTTACACAGCCTACCTCTGAATGTGCCCTCTTTTCTGTGACTTTTCCAGAGCCCAGAAGTTTCATGACATTCTTGGCTCCCTCGGCTACCGCAGCCTCTATCTTGGCGTGGTGACACAGCTCCTCCACCCGCAGATCTAAAGGGCTGATGATGGGCTTTTCTGGAGTACAAGGTCACACTTAAATCATTCACTCTGATGACATCGGATTTATAACCACTGTTTCTGTCTTTCTGTTTTAATCTCCTCAGAAAAAAAAAAAAAAAAAGCTCTGAAGGAAGGGAAGGCTCACCCATCACATCATTGTTCTCAAAGCTCAGCTCGCTGGCCTGGCTGGCCTTGAGGATCTGCATCCTGATGAACTCAATCTTCGTCTTGCTGTCCTGAAGCATCTGCTGAGCGGCTGCTAGCAACTTACGATCCTGTGAGTAAAATTGGAAACTAAACCATCACCGCTCATTAGGGAGGTATTTTATCTCTACAGACCATTGATGACCAAATCAGAAGATTCAATAACATTTTGTCTAAATGCACCTAATCCCTCTGCACGTGTTCTGTTTTGTTGCATGTAACACAAAAAGCCCAGACACCCGTTCGTTCCGTTAATTGGACTTGAAGTCTAAATGACAACATGGAAAATCTTATTCACCAAAGAAAAGAAAAAAAAAGTGTGCACTGCTGTGTTTGCTGAACCTTTCCTACGTGCAAACACACATTGGAGTAAGCAAACTCCACCCCAAATTCCTGTTAAGTTTAAATCCTGGTTGTTGATATCTGCGCTTGCAGGAAAGGCCTCTGTTCAACAGGCACTTCCTCTCTGACATCAGGAGAGGAATAGTTCCAACTGGAAGGTGCCTCCGTCGGTCTGACAGGGAAAGGTCGCTTACACCCGCCCCAGCAAGCCAGACAATGCAAATCAATTGACAGCTCCCTTAATGCTTATTGCATTACAGTTTTCAAACTACACTCACCAGAATTTCAAGTGTCCTCCACCAAAACAGTTTTATTAACAATATCCTGCAATAAAAAGCTAAATTATATCATTTCAAAGCAGAAGAGTTTTCGGTTTTTGGTGGGTGGTGATTACATGACATTGTCTATGTACAGTAAAAGCAAGGGGCCTCATTCACAAACAGTTGGTACTCACAAACTCAAAGTTAAACCACATGATTCACACACAAATCTGAGATTCCTCAAAATATCCTTAACCTCAGTTTGCTTCATTACAAATGTAGAACTTCCTCAAGCAGAGTTTATGAACAAAGACGCAGCTCTCTTCAATAAAAAAATATAAATAAAATAAAAGTATTCACACAGTTTACCTAAATTACATTAATAGAACCACACACTGGTTAAAAAGGCAATAACCTATCATCACACTACATTCCAGCATTTTTGCAGTTATTCCCAGTTACGATTGCAGTGGGCCACTCATCTTGGATGGACAGATCAGGTGGTCCTTGGTCTCCACCTGCTACCGGACACTACAACCTTTATATTTCTAACACACTGTCACTCCTGAGAACTCGGCTCTTTCAAGCTTCAAACTCAACACACTTTTGTGTCACTTTCTTCAGCTGTGAATTCCAGTCTAAGCGTCACTCTGACAGCACTTCCACCACTGTTTGCATGGTACAACTCTAGGCAAACGTGTCTCCTTAGAGAAACCAGGGAGTGGCAGTACGCTAGCGCAGCGCACACTCTGTCAGGTTAGGATGATTTTGACACACACACACACACACACACACACACACACACACACACACACAAAATGAGTCGTGTGCATGTTTCATGAAACCAAAGGCTCCATGTCTGTTTTTGGAAATAAACCCCAAAAAAACAAAAAATAAATGTTAGAAATAATGTTATTACAGTTCCTTCGACTCAGCTTAAAACCTCTTTGGGGTTTGCCAATGATTCCAATTCAATCCAGAAACCCCAGACTACACCAAACCATCTACTACACACCGGCTTGAATTACTACTGACGGATACAAGGGCCGAGCTTAACACGAGAGGCTCTCGGCTGTTATTACCGGTCTTCGTGACTTAACGCACACCTCCCAACTAAATTATAGTCCTCCCTGACTCTGAGGACTCGAGGACACACAAGGACCAACAGAGCTTTGTGAACAAACAGCGGTGCATATGACACACAGTATGTGTCAGCGCCTTCTCCCGTTTCCTCCTCCCCTACAGTGAAGCTATAAAAGCAAACCTGCCATGCAGCAGCCTGGTATTCATAATGGCAACAGGCCAGCCGGCTCCAGTTAACATGCGATTATGCTCACAGCACCTTTCTGCAAAGACTTTACCTTAAGTAGTCTAAGCACTTGTGATTATGAGTCTGGAAACTGACAACCTGCGGTACAAAAATTACACTAAGTAGTGTTTTGGAAAAGGTCAAATCAGATACTAAGATTAACCAGCAAGCCTCATCATTTGTTCATAATGACTTTTAATTAAGATAGATTTGTACTTGCAGAACCAAGGATTTTTTTAATAGTAGTGAGCCCCTTAAGTAAATTCATTCATCACTGTGATGAAGCATGCTCAAGTCCAGGTAAGGCAGACACACTTCGCGCTGTCATTTTCTGAGTAAATACACAATTACATGCAAATATGTGAAAACTAACAGATCAGTGATAATCACAAATTTCACAGGAAAATTGGTCCTATTGTTATCATGGCAGTGAGCCACTTGGTGGTGGTGGGAAAGCAATCTACTGAAATGCTGACAGCTCACAAGAAGACGGCTATAACGCTGAATCTGTACCGCTGCATTTTATTCGTTTTCCAAAGTAGTAAAGATATGTCATCTTTTTTAAACCGTAAAGAATCACAATCATTTGCCATCCAAATCACCCGGATTGAGATGACAAAAACACTCCTACTGCAGTTACAGGTGGTGTTTTTGCTTACTTGCTTTCTTTAAGGTGCCAGGAGCAGAACATTTTGTTTTTAAGTTGTTGAATTTAAATGAGGTTCAGGCTGAACCCACACAGCTCAAAACGGCACTATGCCAACTGGTTTGAAGTGTGTCTGTTGACTGTATAAACACATAATATGTTTAGTTTGAGGTAATAATGTTACCACCCAGCAACATCATCGTTTGTACATAACTGTGGCTAATATTGTGCTTCCAGATCTCAGCATTGTTATTTTTACTGAACAAAGACTAAAACAGAAGAAGCAGTCAGCTATGTAGAAGTGAATCTATTCATTAAATAAAGTATCATCAGAATGTGTCCGACGTGAACCAGAGCAAGCCTGAATCTCCAGGTAACCCTTCGCCTACCTTGGAGGACCCGTTGGAGTACATCTGAATCATGTTCTCGGCGCCCTGTTTGACTTTTAGCTCAATGTCAACCTGCCGTTTTAAGGCCGCCAGTCGGTTGCTGCTGGTGCACATTCTTGCTTCGCTGTTAGGGGTACCTGGTGTTAAAGGGCATTCTGGGTAAAGGAAGAGGAAAGAAAAAAAAGTTAGCATCTTATGGCCATCTGGAAACAATTGTAGACATTACATAAAGCATGTTACATTTGGCACAAATGTAACATGGCTACAAATATTACAAAAATAGGCTACAAATATTAACGGAGCATGTGTGCGCCATTTTTTATTAAGCTAAACAATCCTGCAGCTCTGCAAAAGGATTGATAAACTGCTTATAAAGCGTGTCCTGTTGCAACTTCAGTGGACACTTTACATGCTCAGAAGGGTGTGCTGTTTATGACTTGATGAGGTTTGTTAGCACAATGCTTGACTCAGCACAAAAACTACTACAGAAGTCAACAACATTAGGATTAAGAAATCTATTGTCAGCTAAGCTTCGTGGATTTTTCAAACAAGTTTTTGCTCAGAACGGAAATCCTTCAAATGTGAAGCCACAACTATTCAGTCTGAGTTTGGCTTTAATGCTTTGGTATTCAGGAGTTGTAATATGAAAGGCTGTCATTTCTGATCTCAGCTCATTGACTCTCTCCTGAAGTCTGCGCTGTTCCAACAGCACAGGGAAACCCCTGCGGCCGTCTCTATTGTACGCATTTAATAAAAAATAAAAAAAAGGAACAACACACAAGTGTGAACATGCAGATGATTGCCAGTACTAGTGCCTATACTGTTTATGCAAAGACAAAGTAAACCCAAAAAAGATACATGCAACAGAATATCAACTCTTAAAAATGATCCATGTCCAGATCCCACAGGCTGCAAAGACTAAACAATAATCTGTCCATAGGTCTGTAGACATTTAATTGTTTTTCCTTTTACACATAAATGCACACAGGCAAACACACAGAGATACTTAAACCCACTGTCGTCTACTCTCAGAGATGGACCACAGACCTGGTGGATAGGTTCACTGTTTTGTTGTGTTTTTTGGTCAAGTCTGAACTTGAAAGGTGCAGGTAAAAAATAAATAAATAAAATAAAAAAAAATAAAAAACCCTCTCCAAGCTGATCATTGCAGCTGAAAGCAGAGCAGAACATTCACTCTCACACTCACACACACACACGGGTGAGGTGGGCAAAAAAACCTGCCCGACTTCTCCTGACTTGACTTGCAAGTTGAGTTTCAGAAGCTATGTTTTCATAAAGCTAGTAGTCTTAGAAAAGAGTCAGAGCATTCTTTAAGTGAGCCCACATCTGAAGCATGAACCCTTCCAATCTGTTGCAAGGTCCTTTAACATGGTACTCTTCATTATGTATTTAACTTCTAGCCTTTAAGCTCAGCTCTGTTTTTTTAGTGAGTTTTCCAAATCCAAAGACACAAAACATGTCACATGACATAACCAAAGACCAACAGTTCACTAAAGGTGTCAAGACCCAAAATAACACTGGCAAAGAAACGGCGTTGTACTCTGAGACAAAGCCAGATGCAGATAACAATAACCAGCAGGCAGGTCTGTGATTCATTCAGTCCGAATGCTTCATCAAAACACCCTCTAACGATTCCTTTGAGCACCTGCGGGATACGGGCAAAAAGGAAGTAACTTATTCTTTGAACTAAAAGTCTAAATGATTCATCTAATGAGACTTAATAAGCTGAGAGAGCGCTTCACTGCTGAGTTTTCTGTTAATGTGGAGGAGGGGAGGATGCTAGTCCTTACAGGGTAATGCTTTGATATGGTGACACACTTGAAGAGGTAGGGCTAGACAAGAAAAGCAGAGTATTTGCAGAAAAGCCTGTGGAGCAAGGTGAGAATTTTAGAGGTGCTCGGGGCAAAACTGTCACAGGACATCTATTTAAAAAGACACATGCAGAAGTGCTGCTTGTGTCATCTAGTACATGTCTGGGGCTTTCCTCTTCGCCTGGGGGTGCGGTTTGGCTGAGGTCGCATTGAGCCAAGAATTTAAGGTCTACAACCCCCGCCTCTTCCAAGAGTGATCCAGTCCCTGCTGGGCCGTAGGACAAGATAGCTGCAGGGCTGATGTCACTGCTGGACAATCGACAAGGGGAACCCTCCCTCAGATTAACCCCATCTGCATCTGATGAGAAGGCAATGAGACGGCAATGAGACATGCTTACACCGTCTAAACTAGTACATCGTGAGTGGGAACCTTAAACCTGTGTGTGATGAGCGGTAGGCAAACAGATCGGGACTTAATAACAGACGATGTTGGGGTTAGCTTTCTTTATGAATGAGATCATATGTGACAGAGGGACCTGACTGGTGTCCCCTGCTGCTCACACAGAGCGCCTGAGTGCGAGTCAGTCCATTTCTGGCCTCCTCAGCTGAGTGGCAGAGAATAACCAGAGCCCCCTCAACTTTCTCCTGGAACAGAAACACATTCTGGGCTGCTCGGAGAGACAGAGCAACTCCTTCCTGCTAATTCAGGAAACAAGAGCTGAACATATTTCAAGAAGCTGTCTCGTGTCTAAGGAGCTGAACTGCGCTCAGTCCCTCTTGGCCGTTTTTGCGATGGCCAGCGACATTCCACTGGCCTCGCGTCACTTAAAAAGAAAGCCCTTATTCACCAGATAGGTCGCAGAGTCAGGCTAAATTTATTTTCACTTAAGATAACCATTTACTAAGACAACTTCCCTTCCCTCCTCCAGCAAACAAATACACACACTCACAAATCCCTCCTCATCAACTTCCTATTGTCAAACGTGACGGCGACAGGCAGACAAATACCATTCCTTCTCTTCCTGAATTTGCGCAGACATTTGCCACCAACAGCTACCCTAAAAGGCAGCTACTGTGACAAAAAGCACACTGAATGCACAGATGCTGCTGTGGTCCACTCTCTCCAAATTCCACTGTTGTCAACAAATGCAAAGGAGCAGGCTTTCAACAGCCTCGGAGAGGAACAATCGACAGCTCATTGTAACTGCCACGGGAATGTGGAATGCAACAATGTCAGCCTCTGGAGAGTGAGTCACCTCCAAACACTGAATGTGCTCTGTGTGTGTTTACATAGGTGCTCGTCTGACACAACAGAGACAAAATTATTTGGTGCTGTGCATTTACAGCTAAACCATAAGACTGCTACACATACATTAACTGGAAGAGTGGCCTGTTGCCTTATGTGACCTGGATAAACTCATAGCTGATAATGAATTTAGCTTTAAAAAACACTGGCTGCAAACAAGAATGCCAGCGTACGATTACGACTGCAAACAAGACGACAATAAATGTGAACACTTTAAGATATAAAGAAACAGAGCTTCACAATAAGACTTAAAAAAAAAATGTGTCCAAGACCATGACTCCTGGACTGTGCTGTCATTTGCAACAAGCCAATTAGGACTGGAGCTACAGTTTATTTTCATCAGTGCTTCATCTGTTAATTATTCAGCGAGTTTTCGGTCATATAAGACAATTAAACAAACACTGTGTGTATATGAAAAACTGCATGTGAAGCTTAAAGTAAACTTAACGTCAGGTATTTGATTTTAAAAAGACGCTGTCCATCTGATGGCGGTGACACATGGGTGTATTGATTTGGTTACAGTTTTTACCAAAGCTTAAATGAGAGTTTCGGCCCTGTAAACCTGATGTAGGCAGCTTTTGTAATTATTAAGTTATGACAGACTTCCTGGACGTTTAACATGGAAAATATTCATTGTATGAAGGCTAATCTTTGCATGGCATTATTACATTTACTTAAGTGGCTGTACAAAAACTTAGGTGGGAACATTATTTTTCTGATGATTAATTATTTGACTACTTATATTAACCCCTTCCTACTTTGGTACCATCTATTGAATCTGACCCTGCCCTCCTTTAGTGCTTGTGTAATTACCTAGCACTTCTTCGGGGTCTTTTACCACAATGTGGGCGTTAAGTTCTTGTAGCTCCTGATGAAGCTCCTCGACCTTCTTGTTAGATTTTTTCAGCATGTTGTCAACGTAAGCCAGGCTCTTCTTATCTGTGGTGACCTGAGAGGCGGAAAAATGAGAGGCGGAAAAATGAGAGGAGACCACCTTAAAGCCTTGAAAAGCATCTCCATTAACTTAATCATAAATGTGATGTTATTAGACAAGGGAAAGATAGAAAAAACTGCATAATATATTTAGATTTAGACATTTTGAGGGAAACAGCGGATACTATACTATATCTGTGACATTACCTTTCGCAGGTTCTCTGCACCCTCTTTGATCTTTAGTTCCTTACGGATCTCACGGCGGATCTGCTCCTTGATCTCATCCAGCTTTTGTTGGACCATGGTGTCCGACAGGTCCAGGTTGTGTCCCAGACCGAGGCGCTCTGCCACCTGTTGGCCCCGGGCATCCCCCTGGAGGAGGAGGAGAAGGAGGAAGAGGAGGAGGAACAAAAGAGCAGATAAGGTGAAGATGTGGAATGTAATTAAGAGTAGTTCAGCAAGGGAGGAGAAGAAGAAGAGAAAAGGGATGGTAGGGGGGGAAAAAAAAAAAAAAAAAAAGGAGGAGGAAAGGACAAGCAGAGGTCAGTCACGTACTGTGCACACTGGCATTTTAAACTAGCATTTAATCAACAGGTCTTATCAACGTTAAACTATGAAGGAGAGAACAAATCTGCACTGCATTCAAGTGCAGAATTGCAAAACAGCTGAAGCTGTTGCTTCATAACATGCATGGATTTCCATCTCGTCATGAGCGCTCATGACGAGATGGAAACACAAACGAGGAGTTAAAAACAATTTCGGCCCAGCAGTTAGAGTTTCTCACAATCACAAGCAAAGTTCATGTGAAATCTGAAGCCCTGAATGCAAATATTCACCAAATCCGAATTATTCCTGGTCTTTGTGTGGTGATTACTAGGGCTGCCACGATTAGTCGACTAGTCACGATTATGTCGACTATTAAAATCGTCGACGACTAATTTAA